GGGGCGAGCGGGTCAGGGACGCGGGGGGAGAGCGTCCCCATCTCCCTCTGATCCGGCAAAGGGAGTAGCAACTGTCCTGGCCCCATTGAGCCGACCCTGGGGGGATGGAGGCACCCGAGAGGGCGGAGAGAGCCAGTGCCCAGAAGAAGCCCCCAACACCCTTTGGCCAAGGCCCCACCCTCCTCACCTGCAGGAGAAAATGTTCTGCCTCCGCCGCCCTGCCCGCCGCCATGCACTGGAAGGAGGCGTTCTGGCCGGCGTTGACCTCCACGTCGCCCAGGCGGAAGAAGTGCGGGGCCTTTGCTGCGGGAATATGCCCGCGGGGTGAGCTGGGCCTGCGCCCCCTTCAGGCAGGAGCCGTGACCGCCCGCACCCCTCCCCTTGCGCCCGAGGGGGCTGGGACTCACCGCAGGGGTAGCTGAGCAGCAGGATGTCGTCCAGGCCCATGTAGCCCCTGCGGTCTGGGGAGATGAGGGCCTCAAACAGCACCTGGGAGAGGCGGAGGGTCCCTGTCATACCGACATTCCGCCAGCCCTGCCTGGGGAGGTGTCCACAAGGGCCCCCTTTCAGCTCTGCTCCAGCCCCTTCCTCAAACCAGCAGAGGTCAGCCCAGCTCACAATGACTGCCCAACCAAGCCAGCTAGCTGTGGGAGGCGGTGTCAGCCCTCAGAGCTAACACGGTCAAGGCCAGAGGACAGTTACCTTCAAGTAGCAAAACTCTTCCCAGCCAGACAGGGATTCCAGGCCAGCACAGTTCCCACTCACTCTTGACCCCAGCTCTGACGTGGAACCCAGACTGAACTGTCACTGAATAACCCAGCGCTGACCACAGACTGACTCCTGGCCTTGACCACAGATTGCCTCCTGATGCTGAACACAAACTAATTCCATCCTCAGCCACTCACTCACTCTGGCCTCAAGCTGACACCTCACTACCCCCACCCTCAAGCATAAGCTGACCACAGACTGAACTCAGCCCACCTGATATTCATTGGGCCAGAAGGTGCTGACAGCCATTTCAGCCTGGTGCCACTGACGGCCATGGGATCCCGTCATATTCCAGACAGCGCTGCCCAGGGGACCGCCATTGACCCGCACGTAGATACCCAGGGTGCCCGGGCTGTGCCCATCCCGGCTGTACAGGAAGTAGCTGAACTGCACACAGTGGGTGTCATTCTCGCTCAGGCTCTGGAAGATGACATGGGCCCGCTGGCCGGGGGCATGCTGGGAAGCATTGACCATCAAGTAGGAGCCTGAAAAGAGAGGAGGGAGAGTCAGGAGCTGAGGAGACCTGGAGGACCAGGGTCAGGCGGGCACAGAGGAGAGGGCAGAAACCAAGGACCCCAGGAATTTGGACAACACCATGAATCCGGAGTCCCGAGTTCTGGACCCAGCTCTGATTCACTGGGTAAGTCCCTTCACTTTCCTACATCTATTTCCCAAAGGAGAGACTTGGAGCAGAAAAAACACCGAAGTCTGACTTTAACACAACCCTTTCTTGCTCCTCACCACCTGCAATCACAACCCAAGCTCATGCCGATCCAAGGCTTTCCCCACGCTCTGAGCTGTCCTTGGAGGCAGGGACCATGTCATTCATCTCAGCAGTCAAGAGTCTGGCACGACAAGCCCTCAAAGGCCACCTCTTCTGAAGTCTCCCCCCTCCTCCCTCCCTCTGTGGGCTTCTCTCCTGGCCCTTAGATCATGAATAAAGGTGTGTATGTTTCCCACCAGCCTATGATGCCTCAGGGTTCCACTGTGTCCCCAGCACAGGCTCTGAACCCAAGCAGAATGACTGTATAGAACAGATGGAATGAAAAGACTCTAACTTCCCTTCCAGCCCCCACCTCCTGAGTCTAAATTCCTGGGTTACATGTCTCTTGGTTTCCAACCTAGAGAAAGGCAGCCCTGCCCCTTCCCCAGAGATCCAGGCTGTCTGCTGGCCTGGAAGTCGGGTGAGGGAGTGGGCGGACTCCTCAGGACCTTGCTGAGGGATTATGGCTTCCCTTCTGTGGGGAGAAGGCCCCAGCAGCTGCCAACGGGGTGCCCGCAGCCACCCAGCGCTGCCGCCTCCTGGGCTTGGCTGCCAGCCAACACAAGCTCATTCAGCTCCCAGCTCTGGGATGACTCCCCAGGGACTCCAAGGAGGGGATCTCATTCATCTCTGTGAGCCAGAAGCCTGTGGAGGCTGCTCCTGGTCCAGCCCTGGTGGGTAGCAAACAAAAACCCAGGTCCCCGTCCCCACTCAGGAAGGGGCAGACCCCAGTACCCAGCAGTCTCTCTTGGCCCACTCCCCCTGCCCCCGCCCCCCCGCCTCCTCTCTCCTCTCCCTGTGAGCAGCTGTGTGCGTATTCCTCCCCCTTTCAATCTGACACTTTGTTCTTGTCTCTTCCTTCTGCTCCCTCTGCCTCTCTCTCCTCTGCACCGCCCCCCCGCTTCTTTCATTTACTCCCTTTAGTCCTGTGGCTCTTCTTTCTCTCTCCTGCTCTCTGCCTCTTTCCTTCTCTCTCCACCCTAATACCCTTATCTTAAAGGAGAGCACCAAGGAAGCAGAGACTGTGCCCATCTTGCTGACCCCTGCATCCCCAGAATCCAGCACAAGGCCCCTGCTACTTGCTAAATTTCTCTTTCCCCTTTCCCACTGGATATACCTCTACTTGTGTGTGGGAGAGAAAGAGAGAGCCCGCACAGAGTGGTCAGGACTGTTAAAGGTGAATGCAAATCACCTTGTACCTGAGTGCCAACCAGGTACCAGACTGAGAGTGGGCCCTGGGGATATGGAGACAGCCCACACAGCGCCCTACCGTGGGCACCTTGATAGATCACTCTCACCCAGATCAGACTCTGATAGCTGATAGTACAGAGCTCACACAAGGGACTGAGAGCCCTGCAAAGGCAGAGATGAGAGCCCCAGGGAGGGCACAGGGGCACAGAGGGGGAGGCAGGGAGGCCTCCAGGAGGCAATGCCAATGATAAGAGATGAGGATTTGGAGGCTGCCCAGGCCAGGCAGTGGAGGGCCTCTCTCCTGTTGGCTTCAACTCCTGGCCTCACCACTGAGAATTTTTGCTGCCCTTCCCTGCACCCTTGACAGCAGTTCTGAGAGCCGAGACCCTGGCCCACTACTGTGACAGGGCAGAGGAAGGGGTCCGCAGGCTGTCAATTCTGAGGCTCCCTCAGCAGGCCCATGTGGTTCTCACACTGTGCTATCTCCTCCCACCCAGCTTTTATCGGTAAGAAGGTTGATATGTTGGCCTCTATCTGTCTTACCCTTTTCTTAACTCCCAGTTGATTCTTTACCCACTGAAGAGGGGTGCTAATAATTGGGCTCCCTCAAATACCTCCAACAATAGCAACTAAACATTCATTGAACCCCTACATGCCACTCATGTTATGTACCTTATATAGACATTATCTAATAACCTTGTGAAATAAATATTCTCCCCATTTTACAGGTAAGAACATGGGAGCTCAGGGAAATGAAGTGACAGCCCAGGTCACACAGCTGATAAAGTGATAACCCCAGGATTTGAAGTTCATTCTTCATGATTCTGGAACCAGAGTTCCAGGGGCCAACGTCAGAGCAGGAGGCCGGGACTAGAATCCATGTCATTAGTCTTCCGAATCCAGGGCTCACAATGACACAGTGCCCCAGCCTGAAACAGGGGCAGGGCATTGTGGAGTGGGAAGGATCTGGGACTTGCAGGAAAAGGGGGCAGAGGAAGGAAGGTTTTATACACATTCAGCCCCCATGTTACTGCTCTGTCAGCATCTTCAAGTCCTGGGAACCCAGGATTCAGAGGCTCTCAGTGAATAAAGAAGGTCTTTTCTTTTCTTTTTTAATATATATTTTCTTATTTCAAAGAAGAAGGGAGAGGGAAAGGGAGAAACATCAATGATGAGAGAGAACCATTGATTGGCTGCCTTCTGAAAGCCCCCCATTGGGGATTGAGCCCACAACCCGGGCATATGCCCTAGTCAGGAACCATGATCTCCTGGTTCATAGATGGATGCTCATCCACTGAGCCACACCAGCCAGGCAAAAAAAGAGGGTCTTTGAATATTTGAACCTGCACCGATTTTACAGGGAAACTCCCTGATGTACATAGCTGGGCAGTGTCCAGAGAGCTTCACCTCCACAGTGTCATGTATGTCAGTACAGATGCCAAAGCAGATGAGGCCCCGAGAGGTTACGTAATGTCCCCAAGGTCACATAGCAGGGCGGCAGAATGCCCCCAGGAGACAAACGGGGAATGGTGACAGAGTAGACTCACCGTGGGGCAGGTCCGCAGGAGCCCGGGTACCAGGTTGGATCCGCACCTGCTCCCACTGGAAGTCATCGTACTGGGCCTGGCTGTACTCACAGGGCACTGCTGAGTCACTTGCCTCCTCGAAGGTGCAGCCAGCTGTGAGGGCAGGGCCTGGTTAGCCAAGGCTAGGGCGGGGCTGCTATCCAGGGGGGCTCCTGGACTACCTCCAGGTGCCCCCACACGCCCTTCCTACCCAGGCCTACCCAGCCCCCCTCCCTCTCCACAGGCCCTCCCCTCACTGCTCCCTCCAACAAAACTCGCCCTCCTCCACCCTCTCCCTCTACCAAGGCTCTCTTTTCATTGTCTCCTCCCAATACCAGACCTCCCCACATTGTCCACTCCCCCAGTACTTCCCAGGACACCCACACACACACACTGCTCAACCACCCATCAAAGACCCTACTCAACAAAACTAGTTATCAGTACTGCTATATCATTAGAACCTCACAACAACTCGTGAGATTAGGACTAGAATTACCCCCATTTTACAGATGAGGAAACCGAGGCCCAAAGAAGCTGAATGAGTTTGAACTGAGATCTCCCGACTGCTAGTCAGAGCCCATCACCTGCCCATCCACCTTCCCATAGAGGACAGACAGTAGGCCCCAGGACCGGCAGGGTCATGAATGCCCTCAGCCAGCCCTGACAGTATCTGCTTAAAAATAACAGTGGCAACAGATCATCTCAGGCTTACAACAAGCCCTGAACAGTGCTAAACTTTATAGGTGCAGACTCGCATTTAGGCCTCGCCTTCTGAGCGGGTACCACTATTATTCCTACTTGACAGATGAGCTTAGAAGATTCAGTTATAGCCCGAAGTCACCCAACTTAGGTTTCTGCCTGCAGGAATATGACACACAATGGCACGGTCATATATGGACTGGGCACACACATGAGCAAAGGAAGCAAATTCTCATGATTTGGAACCAATGTTTACAGTTTAAACGAGAAGAGGAGGAAGGAATAGGGGATTGAAATAGATGTGAGTGAGGCCTTTGGTTGGTAATGAGGCCCGTAAATCTTAGCTCGCTCATCGAAGCCCTGAGTTGGGCACCTAATACAAATACCGCTGGTTCAGAAAGTACCGGCACCCGGTCCCTGCACTCACTCCCAAACCTCCGTGTTTGGAGTCCCCTCAGTGATAGTCTGAAGCCTCTGAGAGCTGGGAAATGCCTGAGCCAGTGGCAAGGAAGCAGGCACAAATCGTGCCAGCCCTGCCCTGGGTGCCTGCCCTTGACAGACACGGTGACTGAGGCTCCGAGGGGTAAACGTGGTAGCTAAGTGAGTGGCTTTGGTACCAGACAGACTTAGGAGTTTGGACTCCTAAGGTTCTTGACTCAGAAGTTTGCCAACCCTTTTGACTGTGGGCAAGTCACTGCTCCTTTCTGAGCCTCAGTTTCCCCATCCACACGTGGGTTGTTGAGGATTCATTGTGGGGTCCACTTAGCACCGTGCCTAGCACATGCAAGCACTCAGGGAACACCAGCTCCTCACACGTGCCACTTGAGGCTACATGAGGAGCAAGCAGGACTTGAACCCATGTTGGTCAGCTGCCAAAGTCCCCATCTCCCACCAGAAAAGCCTTCACTATGAGAACCTGAGCTACTTCCCAGGCTCAAGCAGAGGAGGGGAGAGAAACAGACAGTAATTGGAGAGTGGGTGCCGCGTGCCAGGAGCAGCGGGGACTTTGCACACACAGCCAGTGACCACTCTCGGAGGCTCTTGTTTCACCTGCAGCAGGGACTTCTCTAGGTCGCTATGAGGATCACATAATGGAAACACCCAGCACAGCCAGGCACAAAGGGGCTCCCATTGTGGGGTGTTTCCCTTTCCTCTTCTTGGACCCTACCGGAGTGTAAAATGATGAGTCGTGGGCATAGGGATGGCACCAAGTGGATGCAAGGAAATCACAGAAGTCTCTCTACAGAGCTGGGGCAAGTCCTGGGCTGAGCCTTTTGCTCCTTTGTGTAAAAAGCCTGTGGCCTGTGGGAGGTGGGTTTTAACCTCATCAGTGCTGAGAAGGGTTTTAACCCACCCATCAGTGGTGGGTTTTAACCTCATTTCCCGCTAGAAAATGATCCACAGCACAGCACAGAGAGGACATCACCAGTAGGGATGGTCAGGGAGGGCTTCCTGGAGGAGGGAACAAGTGACTTCATTCAGCCTGAGCTGAGTCTACTCCTGAGGGTCTTAGCCCAGGCCTCCCTGAGGCAGAGAGATTGCCATGAAGAGAAGCCAGGGTTTAGAGCCCTGTGAGGGTGCAGGCCCTTCCTGTTGCTTCACAAGTAACAAGGCAGCTGCCCCAGAGGTCCCGCCCCTGGTCCTGGGGCGAGCCCGGGTGTGCCAGCTCTTTCCTTCATGAGCTGTCAGGACTCCCCAGCTGACTGACCTGGTCAGAGGGGCACCCAGACCATCTGATCTTAACCAGAATGGCCCTCAGACTGACTAACCCAGGTCAGTGACCCCACACAGACAGACCTGAGACAGAGTGGCCCCATTGGCATTCAGATGACTGCCAGACCATCTGACTTCAGCCAGAATGACCACCGGACTGACTGACTGACCCCTGACCTCTGCCAAATGACGCCTATAACTGACCCCAGCCAGGGTGACCTCCCCAGCTGACTGACTCCAACAAGAGTGCCCTCTAGGCAGAAGACTCCCTGTCCCTGGTCCATGTCCATCCCCATTCCTGTATCTCTGGGCCAGGCCCATTCCAGCCACAGCCTTAGTGGGTAGTATCTCTGGGGCCAGTCTCCCCAAGGAGAACCCCACCCCCACCCAGTCCCCAGCTCACCCTGGGATGGGAACAACCCCATCACCTCCTGTCTGGATGACACAAAGCCAAGTCCCAGCTCCTGCTAGAGACCCAACTCCTGCAAGGAGCCACCAGCCCTGGAGGTAAACACTAGATCAGACTTTGGGTTCAGAGCAAGAATGGTAGCCGGAAATCCTTCTCAGTTCCATCGACACAGACATGGGCACAGACATGTACACATACGTCAACACCACCACGAGGGGGCTGCCACCTACACCATGACCACCTGTGCTGGTGAACCCTCACAGTAACTCAGAAGGTAAATACTATTGGTAGCGTTGTGGTTTAACCTAGTTATGAATAACTGCAAAGGAGCAAAGGAGCAAAAGAGCATGCCATCTGTGCAGCTTTGCCAGGAAGCTTCAGTTTAACACTCCCCAGGAAGCCACCAGTCTACTCCTCGCAGATCTGGACAGGGGGAGAATAGACGCATGCCCAGTCAAGCCTGGGTGACATAGGGGAGGTACTTGTCCGTCAGTCACACCTGGGAACAGGTCATTGGCCAGAGCAGGTACGGCCGCTGCAAGTGCAGAAAGACTTGAGATATTTAATCCCCTAAACAAAGGCATTCACTCGCTTGTGTCTTCAGGACTCCTGTTGAAGGGGGTGCGCTCTCTTGGCTCCCCTACATTCATTCACATGTGAGCCATGTGAACCCCACACAATGGAGTAATGGACTGCAACTAGCCTGGTGCTGTACCGGACCCAGTTCCAGCATGGAGCAGAAACTCCGGACCCTGGCTTTGTTTATAGCTCTGCTGAATCCCCAGCTGCACATCTTTCAGGACTGGATTAAGGGAAATGGGAGTTTGGAAACCCAAGGATGTAATTCCACTCAAATAAAAATCACTCATCCTCCGTGCGAGTCTCAGAAAATTTTTTTTCTCAAAATATTGTAAGGACTCCACCCCCAGCACCCAGTGGGGAAAGGGATACCTCACGGATAACACTATTATTATTCCTATTTAACAGATGGAAACTGAGGCACAGAGAGATGAGGCGGCTTGCCCGAGGCCACACCTGAAGTCCCAGATACTGGGTGTTAAGCCGCCTATATTACTCAAGAAGGTGAGGCACAGACAGAATCAGGTGGCTTCTCCAGAGGGCACTACAGGACCAGGAGGGGGACAAACCAGATGTCAGGGACCCATCCCGGATGCAAACAACACACACTCTGCTCTCACTCAGAAAGATACACATACACACACACACACACACACACACAGCCCCGCACTCAAATGTTTACATACACACAGCCCCGCACTCAAATGTTCACACACACACACAGCCCTGCACTCAAATGTTCACACACACACACAGCCCCACACTCAAATGTTCACTCACACACAGCCCCACACTCAAATGTTCACACACACACACAGCCCAACAAGAAAATGTTCTCACATACACACACACACACACACACACAGCCCTGCACTCAAATGTTCTCACATACACACACACACAGCCCTACAATAAAATGTTCTCACATACACACACACACACACACACACACACACACAGCCCTGCACTCAAATGTTCACACACACACACAGCCCTACAATAAAATGTTCTCACATACACACACACACACACACACACACACACACAGCCCTGCACTCAAATGTTCTCACATACACACACACACAGCCCCGCACTCAAATGTTCACACACACACACATCAAATGTTCACTCACACACAGCCCCACACTCAAATGTTCACTCACACACAGCCCCACACTCAAATGTTCACTCACACACAGCCCCACACTCAAATGTTCACTCACACACAGCCCCACACTCAAATGTTCACTCACACACAGCCCCACACTCAAATGTTCACTCACACACAGCCCCACACTCAAATGTTCACTCACACACAGCCCCACACTCAAATGTTCACTCACACACAGCCCCACACTCAAATGTTCACTCACACACAGCCCCACACTCAAATGTTCACTCACACACAGCCCCACACTCAAATGTTCACTCACACACAGCCCCACACTCAAATGTTCACTCACACACAGCCCCACACTCAAATGTTCACTCACACACAGCCCCACACTCAAATGTTCACTCACACACAGCCCCACACTCAAATGTTCACTCACACACAGCCCCACACTCAAATGTTCACTCACACACAGCCCCACACTCAAATGTTCACTCACACACAGCCCCACACTCAAATGTTCACTCACACACAGCCCCACACTCAAATGTTCACTCACACACAGCCCCACACTCAAATGTTCACTCACACACAGCCCCA